TTTTTAATTTGCAATAATCTGACGACCATGAAGGTCCTTTCAGTACAAGAGTTACGAATGTGAACAACAAAAGAACAGTGAAAATGTAACAGAAAACAAAATGAATGTGAACATTAAGGAAATACCATTAGGTTTAACATGGAGAGGGGAAAAAATGTAACAATCATAAAAATACATGTCTTAGTACCCGTACATTTGCGCAACCCGGTGAACTAAAGAACAAGAGGAGAAAGAAGGAAGAACGAGAAAGAAAGAAGAAAGAAGAAACAAACAGCTAGCTTAAGCCGAAATTCATCTGCTTGTGTCAAAAGTTTCTGGAAATTCCGCAAGCGTCATCACTTCCTCTATGTTATAGTTTACAATGGATTCGTTCGAGGCTATACTTGCGCACCAGCTTACGATTTTCTCTAGTACCGGCTTATGTTCGACATATCTCTTCGATCTAAAGACTCCAGCTATACTATTTTCTTTACGTAACCAAGCTTCTCTGAATACATTAAAATTCATCTGCTCGAACATTAACTCTCCATCTTTCGTGCTCGATAACGATGATAGATACCTGTTCCAATATTTCAAGCACCTGTCCTCTACACTTATTTCGTTCAGAGCAAAGGAGACAAAGATATCCGGCCAGTGCTGACAGTAGAATATTCTACGTATGCATATGTAGTAGAAATGGTTTATCTGTTGTTGTTGATTTGTCGTGAATAGGGGGAGAAGAGGGTATAGCCACGTGAATAGGGGGATGACATAGGATAGAAATAGAGCTTTTCTCAAATCAGTAGAGGTGGATCCACCTAATCGAAACGAATTAATCATACAAATTCTCTGTCTTATCTTCGTCACACTATTTTTAATCATACACCCGAACCCCAGTTTAGGTGTGATCCAGTAGCCTAAGTACTTATATTTACTGACCCATGGAATGTTTATATCCCCGCATGTTAGCTCAAACTTCGGTCTACCTATGGCCCTCGCGGACCTAATGGCTTCCGTTTTTAACAGTGCAGTTCAGTTAAGAGGAATTTTGAACAGCTCCTCTGAACTGAACCGAACTGTTTGAACAGTTCAGTTCAGTTCAAACGAACTGTTCGAACAGTTCTTTTGAACTGAACTATTTCCGAACTGTTATAGTCCTACTNACCAGCTCCTCTGAACTGAACCGAACTGTTTGAACAGTTCAGTTCAGTTCAAACGAACTGTTCGAACAGTTCTTTTGAACTGAACTATTTCCGAACTGTTATAGTCCTACTTAATATTGCATAAAATTCGAGCTGCTGAAAGAATAACTTGAGTTTACGTTCTAGATCTAAACATTGCGCAGTGAATTTCATTCCTATACTGCCTGCCAATACTGCAGCTACATCATCAGCGAAGAAATAACTAAGGCAGGACGGGAGAAAATCACCCATGTCCGAATGGTAACATATGAATAGAGTAGGCGTAAATGAGGATCCCTGAGGGCCCCCTCTCGAAATGGTGAACCATCTCGACTTTTTACCTCCTATTTCTATATAAGCTCTTCTTCCTCTTAACCACGTATTTATCCATCTACGATACGCTCTTGGAATACCCATTTTTTTTAGTTTTCCTATACACCCATCGAACCATAGCTGATCAAACGCTGCTCTGAAATCTACAAACACAGTAGCTACTGGTGAGCTATTAGCCATTAGGCTTGATATTTGTTCTAAGAACAGTAGTACCCGTGTCTGTAGACGAAATCCAGGCCTGAAACCCGACTGTGTATCCGGTAAGATACCCCTCCGTTGCAATAGATCTCTGAAGCGAGTTAAAAATAATTTTTCATCCACTTTTAAAAATACATCAAGAAGTGAAATGGGACGAGTAGCCATAACTTCACAGATAGATTCTTTTTTTGCAAGAAGCAGCACTCTCGTCTCTTTCCATTGTTTCGGCACTATTGCACTAGAGAAGGAAAGATTGAAGATTTGGAGAAGTAAACACCAATATTGAACGGGTAAAGAAGAGAACATGAAGTTAGACATCCCATGCGCATCGCATGATTTTTTCTTTTTACGAGAATTCACTACCTCCATAATTTCTTCAATTGTTACCGGTGGTATTTCCTCATTGAAATTTTCCCACTCTATTTCTGGTGCATCTGTATATGGATGCGGTCTGTATATATTGTCGGGTTCTCTGAAGAAATTCTCGTAATGATCCGCTGCTAATTCGCACATTTTTTCTGCTTCTTTAACCACTTCACCGTTTTGACTAATGAATCCGTTTAACGAGGCAGAAGACGATCTCATGAACTTTTTAGTACGTGACCAGAACGAGACTGATAGATGTGACGAGGTGTTACGAGAAGCTAAAGAAGAAGATAACTGCAGTGATAAAAACACCTTCAGTTCTGTTTTAGCTAGTTTTCTTCTTATTCTCACTACATTTTTTAAAACGTTATCTCCTGTTATTTTTTGCCTAAAGGAAAATGCTCGAGTGTGTGACATATAACTTCTTAATTCACCTGGAATCGCAATACGATATTTATTGATTGGAAAAAATACTGTACAGCGCGACGTGAGCAGAGAGAGGAAAGATACGTAGTCTTTGTACACTTCGTTTAAATAATTTAGACACCAGTTTTTTTCCCAGAAGGGATACGCGTACTCACAGAACAAAGAAAAAACTTTCCAGTGAATATTACGTGCGAACGAATTTTCTTTTGAATTGATTGCTATAATAGAAAAAATAGGCTTGTGATCACTAGTCACATTACCTTCATAAGTTTGAATCGAGATAGAAAAGCCACACGCAAACGCATAGTCTATCGTACGCTCTGAACGTAACGACGTTGAAGAATCTGGAATGAAAGGAGAAAGGAGGTTAGAATCTGACCACTTCATCAAAGTTTCTGCCTTAGAACTATCATCTTCTAAATCAACATTGAAGTCTCCAAAGAATACGCATTTTTTAGAGACTAGGAGTGAAAGCTCATCCCACTTCCAACTTTTACTTTCTGGCGCATATACTCCAATTATTCTAATCGGTTCCTCGGCTATGATGTCAATCGCACAAACATTTGGTAGGTTACAAACCATTCTTTCTGTTTTTAAATCATTACGAACGAAGATAACTACACCTCCATTTGAATTTTCTCCCTTTTGATAGAACATTTTGTATTTAGAGAAGACTTGACTATAGTTAGAAAAGCCTACCAATTCTGTTTCTAGTAGAATTAAAATATCAAACTTGAACGTGTTTGCGAGAAGTAATACTTCCTGATGGCGCAAGTCCAAACCTCGAACGTTGAACGATAGAATATGTAAGCTTTTAACAATAGAAGAAGTGTCAATGACCTTGAATGGTTCCCATATCTTGAAACAATCAAGAAGTAATGGTGAACTTTCCCATTCAGCTAGAATTTGTGAGTATAACGAAAAATCAAAGTGAGATAAATTAGCCTGAGCTTTACAAAGAAAAAATTCACGTTTATAGAAATTGTTTTGATGTAAACAAGTGTGATCATATGGGTAAAATGGTTTTGCAAGAGGAGACAGTATCATCAGAAGTCTTTGTTTAAACTTACGTTGTTCAATTGTGCACGCATTCGATTAATTGTTACTTGAAAATCTGCATTTAATACACCACGATTTATATCAACATTTATGTTAACCATAAATTTTGCAATTTCATCTAACATCGGCAGTACTAATTTTGTAAATACATTTTCATGTCTCGTTAATTTAATATCATGTTGTGTATGAACTTTCTTGTAATCCTTGTCTTTTTCGTTTAGTTGATCGAGTTTCTTGAATAGGCTAGCATCATTGTTTTTACTGTCAACGATAAATTGTTCAAAGTCTTGGTTTTTCTTCTCTATTCTTTTAAGTGTATCATTAAATTTCTGCATTGAACCAATCAGTTCTCCAATTTTGTTAATCATTTCGTTACTGACTGCAGAATATGGTATGTTCTGTTGTTGTGGTGGTGGCAGTTGAGGATAATCTGACCAATTATGTTGATAGTTATTATTAATATTAGCATTACCATTATTATTATTATTATTTGACCATGCAGAAGGTGGCGGTGGCGGACGATTTACCGATAGAAGCTTTTTTGTTAATGTCGAACGATAGCTTTTTACGATTGGGCATTTTAATGCATTTGAATGATGATCACCGTCACAATGAATGCATTTTATAACTGTTGAACATTTATGTTGACGCAGATCAGGACAGGATGTACCACATACTTTACATGTTTCATCTGCTTCTGTGCATTGTCTTCTAAAATGTCCTATACCCATACATTTTGAACAGATCAAAACATCGGCCGGTGCTAAATACGCTTCAACATCATATGTCATACTTTGTACAATAATTTTACCTTTGTTTAGAATTTCTTCACGTTTCATTGACGATAGAATTTCAATTTTAATCAATTTAATATTATTTTGAAATTTATTTTTTAACCGAATAACATTATGTATTTCGGGGTAGGTGGTTTTTACCTCGTTCGTAAAATCGTCCATATTCATTTGTAAGTCAACATTTTTGATGATGAATGCAAGTTGTGGTGGAAAAGAAGGAGTAGAAGGAAACGTGAAATCCATGCCATCAATCTTCTTCGGCCAGTTTTGTTGATCAAATAATGTGATAAATGATAGAGAATCTTTTACATAAATTAATAAATCGTAATCGTTTTGTTGGCATTTTAATGTAGACTGACGTATATGAGCAATTGACATATCTGTATGCTGAATATCTTTATAATGTTTTACCAATTCCTGTGCAGCTTGTTTTTCTTTTACCTTTCCGGATGAGAATCTAATGATGAAGGGTTGAAATGGAAATCGAGTTTGAGCATAACGAGCCGATTCCGATGTGATTCTGTTACTTTGTTGATTACTTCTATTTTCATGAGCAATTGTACGGGCATCGGTTGTTCTTAATGAGAAGCGTTGCTGCTGTGGGTGCTGTTGCTTTTGTTCATGTTGTTGTGTCGGACGAGGTGGACTAGGATTATTGTTATCATTGTTGGTAACATTTATTTGTATTTGTTGGTGTTGATGATGATATTGTTGTTGCTGTAGAAGTGAATTATCCTCATTGTGGCTTCGTTGTCGATTCTCCCATTGATTATCGAATTCAACTTCAGTACTTCGTTGTCTTTGTTTCTTATTTTGTACGTCCTGTTGGAAATCATCGTCATCATTGAGTTCAGAACGAGTACGTCGACCGGGTGTACGTGGTGAATCTACATGATCCATATTCTTTCTCGATGGTGGAGGAACTAAACGAATTTGTCGTTGATGATGGTTATTACTATCATTGTACTGCATATCCGTTGGTTGGTCGTAAAAACGTTGTGCCGAATTTTGTTGATTGTTGCTATTGCTATTATTACGATTGTTCTGATTTGGATAATTGTTCACCATAATTTTGGATAACTAATTCCAAAAATTTGAATGGAATTGACGATTAACCGCGATGGCGCGTTGGACGCGTGTTGCTGTTTTTTTTTTTTTATTATGTATGTATGTGAACAAGTATATGTAAGAACGGGCAAGAAACACGTCCGATCAGTGCAAGAAATATGTTCGAATGAGCAAGCTGATTCTTCACAACTATGTGTATGTTCGTAGCGATTGTGTTTGTTTTATCCGTCATTATTGACCATTTATATTTTTTTAACAGAGAATGAAAATATTTAATTTCTTCTAAAACTAAAATGGAAAGTTTATTTCGATGTTGATAATATCATGGAAGATAAAAGTAATGTACTTACATTATCTAGATTTAATGAAATAATTTGAAGAAGATTTACCGAAAAATGACTAAAACGAAAACAAAAATAGCTAAATTTCATGACTGAAAATCAACTAATTGATTCAAATCCAGATCATGAGAATGACCGACTATACGAAATGGTATATGTCATATAGTTCAGTGTCTTACATCTTAAATGACAGTAAATAATCAAAACTTCACAAATAAAAGAAGACATTTCTAATAAATCAACAAACTTATTCGAGAATATACTCGTTGATATATGCTCTGTGTCGGTCGACTTGTTTCCCGACACTGAGATATCATAATGCGAAGAAACCAGTAGATGGATAAAAAATAGAAAATATGCTTTTTCACAATGAAACACACAATGAGTCGCTTCACGAAG